TGAATTGAGATTCTTTCTCCAGAGAGCCGTAGTTGAAGCGCGCGCAACCAACCCACTCTGGGATGCGCCGTGTGCTTCACATCCCTTCAGATTCGAGGACTCACTTGAAAGATAAAATATCCTTGAAAAATTTCGAATTTTTACTTGTAGGTGACAAAAACTAAGAATTGCTAAGCGGACATCTCTGAATCACGAATGTGGGCAGAATGACATTGTTATTGGAAATCCTCTGGCCTGGCATCGACCCTTGATGTTTGTCCTCCGACGGTGATGATCCTACTGCATCAATCCGGCCCGATCTCTTCCTCCCAGCGGGCCAATACGACCCCCCCCCCTGTGACATGTCGAGGATTCCTCAACGCACGCTTGACCCTGGGTACGATTGAACCATGGCAGGAAGGAGTTTAAACGTCTAGAAAACTCAGTAGAAAGAATTTGGACTTGTTTTTGTTTGTTAACTGCTGTTTTTGGCCGCAGTTCGCCTTGCGAATGTTTCACAAGAATGCTGGGTTGTGAACAAAACTTTCGCCCCAGACGGGATAATGCACTTTTCCGGAAAACGAGGGGTGCGGGTTCTAGTCCCGTCTGGGGCGAAAGTTTTGTTCACAAACCAGCATTCTCTTGAATCAGTACAAAGAATATTGTTCTTCGTTCCCATAGTGCTCATCCACTATACATGAAAGCGGACGTGATACAGAACATCATCACGACACAAACGAAGGTTTTCACTCGAGAATCAGCAGAATGGAAGGAAGCATGGCCGCGATCATGGTGTTCTTTCTTTGTTTCTGGAGGACCACGGATATTATTGCATGAGAACAAGGGTATTCCGATGAAAAAGGACCAAATCGTGAAATCAGCGCACCCTCTGTAGCAGGGTGAATATCGCTTGAGGATTCCTCAACGGCACGTCGAGGATTCTCTGCCCGATCAGAGACGATCTCTCGCGCGGACATTCACACTCGCCATGCCGTGCCGTCTGTGCTCTCCGCGCGGATGTTCACTCTCGGCACTACTCTCGCATGGTAGAGAGCTATGGTCGAGGATTTCCTCGACCGTTATTCACCCTGCTTTGTAGTATAGTGTCCTCGCCCAGCATTGAACAATCAAAGCTGCTGACATCATGAAGCTCCACGAAAAGAAATGCAGCCGAAATGACTGCTCGTACTGACACCGACAACAAGACCTGCCAGCTCGGCAACCGTTTTGTGGCCGGATACGATTGCTGGAAGTATGTTAAAAAACGCATGAGACCACTGCAAAGATGAATATTTGATGAATATTTCGCGCATTGCGGAACCCTCCCTCCTACCCGAGCAGCGTTCTTTCACGACGTGTACACTTCATCACAGTCAAGATACGTCTCCAAATGTAAACTGACGCATGTGGTTCGACGGGGGGGGGGGGGGCACTCTGAGAAAAGTCATCTAGGACTAAGCCTAAACAGCAGGGACGAACTCCGGAGAATACGAAAATTGCTTCCGTACACCGGAGTTCCTCTCCTCTTCAAAAGCTTAGTCCTAAAACGGAGCGTTTCCGTGATTTTGACGCGATGTTGCGAGGTGCCCCCGAGCTACATTGCGCCGTAAACTGTCCTCAAAGGAAGTTCCCTTGGAAAGGAAGTCATTAAAGGTACCTTCAAGCGACTGTAAATTGAAGAGGTTGAGTACAGTGCGCGTTCACACCTGTTGATCTTGGCGAAATTTTGAAAAAAAAAGTGTCGTTTACTCACCTGTTTCTTACTAGGGCTGTGGTTAGTCTCATGGTCCAATTCATACCTCCGAAACGTTGATTTCTCCATGGTTGTCGAAATGATCTGAAAGTATAGTCTCATCAGGAATTATCTATAAATTTGTGGTCCCGAAGTTTCGCATTCACACTATGGGGGCCTATGGCTTTTGAGCTGCACCTTGACGGCATTTTAATTCTCTTAGTAGAAAAAAATTTGAATATAGCGATTACACGCGCACACACAGTTTGCTTGGTTGTGCCCTACCGTAAGCTAACCACACTGATTGTCGTAATGCCTGTTGGAACTACAGCCGTTGTACCTTATGAGAACCTTCCTCATCAATAACTGGCTTGCTTGTGACCACTGCGATGACGTAGAAACTGCAGAATTTATATCTCATAGAAAATCTAGAAAATTAATTTAAGGATGAGTGATCAAGAGCGTTTATAAAGGCGTAGTTGTGGGACTACAAACCACTTCTACTCGAGTTGATGGAAACATCGCTCAGTAGTATAATTTACACGATTACCCAGACTTTTTTCACGAAGTGAACCGAAGTCTTATTTTTGATTTGTTCTTCCAGTCGGAGTACTTTGTATTTTGCAAGAAGCTTGAGCCGTTCAGATCCTGCCCAACAAGTGATTAAATCAAGAAAAGGATAAAGGGTAAAGCATCCTTAGCCACTGTTGACTCTTTTTGGAGTGAAGCCACTCGTTGTGATTGCACCCAGAATTGGTTTCACTGGATTGATAGTCCCTTGAATAACAAATAGTGATACCATGCGTGGTGAGTAACTTCATCGCCCACACGCTATATTGCCTCAGTAGCACGACTGATGTGCTCTAGCATAGATTGCGGATGCAAGAGCTGCATTAGCCCTTTTACAGAGCAATTTTATTCTGAGGACGGGTTCTTGCGCTTGGTGCGAGCAAAGCAGACGAACGGATTGTCGAACGTCAGAGACTTTTTAGATTTTTTTTTGGGCAGCAATGGTGTGCCCCCTCTCGGCGAGGGTAGCGTCGTAAGCGCCAGGGCTGCCTCTTCCCGCTTACCAGCTAGCTACTCTTCGCCATCCGTTCTAGCCAGGAACACAAGCCGTTTAGCGGAAACGCAAAGCAGATGACGTCAGCAACGGTAAGGCTCTTTCCCGCTGCGGAACAGGGGAAAAAGGAGGTTCCACCTCCCGAGTTCCAGCCCTTTTCTTGATCTTTCTCTTCACCAACCCTGCATCCCTGACTACCTCTACCTTTATTTGCAATGCACGATCAATGGTCGTGAAATCCGCTTTGAAGCTAGTTCATCTGCGGACATTTTCTAGTGTAAGCGACTGGTGGAGTGCAGAAGTTGTTACTTACAGGGAAGCAGAAAAGTCACTGAGCATGTTCTGGCACAATCGAAGGCTGTGGTGTAATTTCTAACACACACACGCGCCCTCAAGACGCTGAGCCAATGCTCCACTTGCAACGATTCTCTAAACTCAGTCATGAAGTCGAAGGCGCTGTTGTTATAAGCAAGGTTCTCAGGTCCACCACCAGCGCTGCGCAAAGGTTTTATTGCGAAAAGCAACGAAGCAAATTTGCTGAGGTGTTGATCCTGAGGTCTAATTTCTGAGCCAGACACCATGGCTGCCTTTTTCCAACATATATACGTTCAGATAGTCATTCAGGAGATAATGAAAGTATATTTGAAGGCGAAATTCGGGTTCAGACCCACCTAAGAAGCCCTTACCATGGCTAGAAGTGCTGGGCACGCAAGTGCAAAGTTAGCGCCACCTTTCTACATCGAAACCCGTCACCAGGACCCTAGGCGCCATGAACTTCTAACAGACTCCACCAAACATAACATGGTCCGCCCACCGATCGATGTCTTGTCTGCGTCGCTGCGTTGATCTGCTATGCTCTCTCTTCTCGGAATTCTCTACCACCCTCTGCGCTCACATTATCTCTCATCTCCCTCCCTGTCTTTTGAACTTCTCCACAGCATTGAGCAAAATGCTCGTATTTCCTGTGCATGTCAGGATTTTCTTTCCTTTTTCTCCATTGGCGGTCCACCTCTCATCCCTACTTTCACAATTTAGAGTGTAATCAACCCATCAATGTAATCCTGACTTCTTGCCTTTAAGTATGTGTTGCCGTTGGCGTCGGGCGTAATGGCGGGCAAGACTCTCTGGGTTATTGGGTAACACAGAAGATTTCTTTTTAATGGAAAATCCTTAATGTCTGAGCAAACGATCTGAAGTTGAGCTGCTGGTTTCCTTTTCAATGCACAGAAGAGATCCCCGCGGAGGCTAAAGGTCGAGAAGTGTAAAATGACGCTTCTTCCTGCGGCATTACTCGTTGGGCGGTCGTGTAACATTCAGTGCATATCAAGCTTCAAGTGTTCCGCTGTTCCCTTTTGGATTTGAATTCTGAGAATATATTGAGTGTAACTCTTGAGATCTTGAGTTAAGTTTTTATTTATGGGTTCACGTCCTTTTTTGCGCTAGTAGTTAAGAATTCGCTCGAAAGTGAATGTGTTTGACTATTTTCCAATTTCGTCCGCGAGCATATGTTGACCACAACAATGTGAATATTCGAGGAAAGAAAGCTTCATCGTGGTAGCTTTCTGTAGCATAATATCTGATTTTGCAGCTGTTTAAGGCTAATTTTCCTGCTGTTCAGGCGCTTTAACGTAATGGCAAACGAATTGAATGTTCAATTAGGTGAGACTTGGGCGAAGACGTACCCTCAATTTTTCTTGGAGCTTACATTTGGATTATGCCTGCAAAACATTTGTGAAGGGATCAGAGATAACACTTAACTTTGTGATCATTGTTGGGTATGAATTGCTGGACTATTGATGCGAAATTGTAAGATCCAAGAGCTTTTCGTTGCAGTTTCCTAGGGATGCGCCACATATTCTGCCTCCCTTAAAAAATAAAGACGGTAAGTATGTGCCTAACTGTTCCCTACAATGACAGAATGATGATCGTATTAGTGTGCTCGTCATGATGTAGTCTGGCACCTATATATCTGAAATATGGAAAACATAATATTCGACCCGGGCCGAGGAGACTCGTCCCTCCTCTGTTCTGGCGATACCAACGCCTTTTGTTGTCAAGATGCCACCGTGGTTGCTGCTCGGGACCCGATTTGTTGACATCTGAAAGTTTCTCTCCAAAAGCTATTGTTCGATCCTTCACACTATGTCATCCAAGTGCTTCTGAAAGATCTCATCTATTTTTTTTCAGTATGTATTTGTTCTTTACAGTTGTGACTAGCTCACAAGGATGGAACGACGGTGGTGGGATGAACTGACTTGTATTCTTTGCCTTGCAATCGGAACGATGTGCCTTATGAACGGATACGACACACAGTCATTTATTGTGGAACCAGTGCTGCATTCGGTCCACATGAGAGAACCTGGAACGATTGCAAAACATGCAGGATACTACGGGTACGTAGTTGATAACTGCAACATTAAGACAGAGTACGGTAGACTAGTCCTGCAACATGGAAGTGTATGCAACCGTGCAAGCGGTAGCCAGGGAACCGAATGCAACGAGTTTGGCGCTTCTGCGGCGCAAGGTACGGTAGTCACTGCACAGTCAGGGTCCAAACCCATAAACCGCTCCGCACAGAATACCCAGCTCCTCCCGCGCCATCAAGTGGAGTTTTGCGGTTTCTAAAATTATCTTTCGATTTCCATTTTACAAGTGCTTCCTAATCCGCCTTTCCTGCAACCCTACCCACCCCCCCCTACTGAGTTTTGATATACCATTATATTTACTGATCGATTCACTTCACAAGCGCCTTCCAATCCAAACAGATTTCGCCTGTTCTGTCGCCTGTCATATTTTGTCGAGACACCATCATCCGAATGGCCGCCATTTGAACTGTAAGCCCGTCCAGTCAACGAGTGCAACGAGGGTCTCACTTCTCGGTTTTTATGATTTTTTTGCTTTTTCCACAATGCCGCACAATTCGGGCACCTGCGTTCATATTTGACCAACACCAAAATATCATACTCACTGCTTCGGAGTACAGACCGCTCTATGCGTACTAGCAGGACTTTTGCGATCGCCCACAATTCCCATTTGCGCGTGTATATGCGTTCAACCACCGCCAAAAGCATGATGGAAAGCTCACGGATTCTATGTGGAGTGTGTTTGTATGCGCAGTCTCACCGATAGGTCCAGTCATTCACCTCAAAACCTCCCAATTGTTAGGCGGATAAAGTCAAAATTTCGATAACTGAAAGAACTACAATGGGAACAACGATGCAGTTGTGCAAAACTCTCATCATGTCACAAGGATGACTTCTGGGCAAAGCACTGCACCAGGGTAGACTGGATGAAGTTTTCAGTCACAATCATCATGTCTGATCGCAAATGTGTCAGTATTTCTAGCTCATCAGGACTTACTTGTTCCACGTGGTAAGCTGGTTATGCGACATTGTAGTGAACCGCAAGGCTGAAGGCCCGCTGTTGCTTGCTGCAAGGATCAAATCCAAATCCATGGCTTTTGAAGGCAAACC